CTGTGGCCATTTCTTCTTCGTTGTCTTGGGGTGGTACTGGGCTTGCTACTCTTGATGATGCTTGGGATGATTCTTCTGATTCTTCGCCTGATGAGTCTGGGTTATTTGGTGGGTTTCCTTGGTTTTGGTCTTCGACTTGGTTTTCTTCAAGGGTTTCTTGATCGCTTTCTTGATGATTACCTTGATTTGCAGGTGGATCTTGATTTTCTATCTGATTTTCTTCTTGTTGTTCTGGCTCTTCTTGGTCAGAGTCTTGATTTAAGTTATTATCAGCAGGGTTTTCAGGGATAATTCGCTCGTTTTCTGGTATGTCTTGGTCGTTTTCGAATTCTCTGTGGCCAAATATTTCGTCTGGAATTTCTCGGTTTGGTAAGGGATCGTACTCGTCTTCACTATTTTCGTTTATATCTTGTAATTCGATTGTACCAATTGAGCCTAAAAGCGAAAGTTCTTTCTCTTTTTCCTCGTTGTCAGGTTGATATAGTGGTCCTAGATCTGGAGTACGATAATTACTAGTTGTTGCTATACTGCCGGGGCTGGTCGGATTTCTTTCTCGTGCTTTTCCTTTTCTATTTTCCGCCTCGGTTACTTGCAAATACTCAGCGACTTGATTTTGTAATTCTTGTGTTCTTGTTCGGCTTATTGGTTCACTTACACTAAAATCTGCTAAATATATTCTTCCTGTTGCTGACGGGTTGACTAATGCTTCGACTAACGACGCGACTCTTAGGGGTGCGTACGGAAATACTGTTGCTTTAATTAGTCGGAGGGCTGCTTGAAATTTTCTCGGGCTACCTTGCCACTCTACAAATCGGTCGTAAGTGATTTGAGATACGCGTCCGTCGTATCTATATATTAATAGACGATAATTTTCAAAAGCAGGGCTAGTTTGTTGGGTGATTTGGTAGCAAACACTGCACGCGTCAGATCGGAATTCTTCGAGCGCGTTTTTCTTAAACGGATTTGTTCTGTGGACGTGATTGTGTATGTATATGTGTTGCCAATATGTTTCTCGATGCGCTTCGACTTGTAGCTGTAACTGCTGTATTCTTGTTGCGCTTGCCAGGATTACTGATTTTCTTTGTGGTTCGTGTTCGTTTAATTCGCTATGTGGACTGAATTCCACGGAATCCCC